TGTCTGGTCTGCGTTACAACGCATCAGCCAAAGCATTCTTCTTTCCCGACTTATACCTTACCTTCAAGTTATATTCCGCAAAGAAGGATAGCCATCTAGCCTTCCTCTGCGAGAGGTGGGGCGACTGAGACGCAGTGCGTAGTGACGCATGACCTGGATAGACCACAAACGGCTTGGAACCGAGCAGGTGGACCCTGAACTTGACAAGTGCATACTCCATCGCAAGTAGCTCCTTGTCATGAACTGGGCAATTCTTCTCTGCAGCTTTGAGCTGTCGAGATTCGAACGCGAACATCCGATACGCACCTCGGCGTCTGCTTATAGCAGTGCACAGCCGATGGCAAAGTCCGAAGTACCACGGACGACGCTGAAAGGACGCTCAGGGTCTGGCAGCGCCAGTATTGGTGCATGCAGGAGGATGCATTTGACCCCGTCAAAGGCCTCCTGATATTCGGTGCTCCAACACCATTCCGCATCCTTTCTAAGGCGATTGGATAATGGTCGGGCCATTTCTGCGTAGTACGCTGTACTTGTGCAAGTAGTTGGCAAGACCAAGCTACTTACACAAGCCCTTCTGGTTTTTGGAGCCGGTCAGTCTACAATGGCCTTGACCTTAGCGTATCACCGCTCTTAAATGGACGATGTGGTTCTCCTCATCCGTCCATCCGTGCTCCGCACGACTGCGAACGAAAATATCGTCAGAGTATGTATGTGCATACGCCCTGTGGGGCCTGAACAACCGCGTCACTAGACGATTAAATGTTGCTGGTGCATTTGACAGCCCTTGGGGCATCACCAGCCACTCCCAGAGCATACCGCTCGGAGTGCTCACCGCTGTCAGCGGAATGTCAAACGCTCTCATGAGCAATTGAAACAATCCATCTACCAAATCGAGTGTACTGAACTTCGTACATCCCACCATATTGTTCTGTAGAACATCCTTTCTAGGAATTGACATTTGTGGCGGAATGATGGCAGCGTTGATCTTATTGTAAGCATGAACGGTACGCAACTTGCCGTTCTGCTTCCGAACACAAAATGTGGTTGTCGAATGGGGAGACTTGCTCTCACGTACCATTCCTGCGTCGTGCTTCGCACGGAAA